CATACTTGTGGACATAACTTTAGAGCTAACATTCACACTTGGTTTGATCCCCTGCACCACAAAGAGGACAGTGGCTAGGATTAGCCTTGGTGGCAAGAACCTGTAGTCCCAGCTGCTCTGGAGGCTGAGACAGAAGCATCACTTTTAGCCCACAAATTCAAGACTGGGACAATACAGTGAGACCCTCATTTAAAAAACAAACAAAACCCCTTCTACCACAGTGGGAAATTATCTCCAGCGGGGAACTACAAAACTTAAAGCAGCACACTTTGTTATTAGAAAAACCAAAGTTAATGTCCAGGTCAACTGTTCTTTCTACTTTATAACTGGTTTAATTTTATCTCTAATTTCCATAGGAAATTAAAGATGCTAGACAAATTTAATGTCATACAGCAAGTTAATCCTAACCACCCAGATGGCCTTTGGTTTATTTTAAAGAAGTTGCTTGTCCCCCCCCCCCCCCCGAGATTATTTTTCCCATCTTCATGGAACTGGTGTAAAGATAGTTAAAAAGACTCAAAGCCAAAGATAATTTTCTTTCAGGTAACATTGTTACAAAATTATTATTATTATATATACCCCACCAAGGCTGTAGATATTCACTGCCATTGAAATTTCCTACAGGTTTTCTTACTTTTAAAAGTGTATTATCAGTAAGAGTTCTTTGTCTACATTTGAAAAACTCTAATTTAAAAAACAATCGTTTTCAATTCTAGCACATTTCTAAGCACAAATTTGTAAGAACGGAATTCTAAAATAGAAACAATGGCATTTTGGTGCCACCTTGTGGTAAAATAACAGATGATCATCTCTGTGAATAAATTGGTGACTAGTTCTTTTTTTTTCTTTGTAATTTTTAAACAATCTTTTTTATTTTACTTATCAATCCCAGTTCCTTATAACTCCCCTCCTCTTGCTCCACCCACCCACCCACCCACCTCCCCATCTACTCAGAGAGGGTGAGGCCTCCTGTGGGGAGTCAACAAAGTCTGTCACATCACATTGAGGCAGGACCAAAGCCCTCCCTCCTGTATATAGGGATGAGCCCATAGGGGATGGGCTCCCAAAAGCCAATTCATGTACTAGGGCTACATCCTGGTCCTACTGCCAGTGACCCTCAAAACCGCCCAAGTCCCACAACTGTCACTTACATTCAGAGGGCCTAGTTCAGTCAGTGAGCTCCCATTAGCCCTGGTCAGCTGTCTCTGTGGGTTTCCCCCTTGTGGTCATGACCCCTTTGCTCATGTTATCACTCCTCCCTCTCTTCTACTGACTCCAGGAGCTTGGCCCAGCACACAACCCCAGAGATGCTAGGTAACAAGGATAACATACATACATGAATCCCCCAGGGAAGGGGAAATGGACAAGATCTCCTGAGTAAATTGGGAGGGGGGGCAGGGAGAAAGATCTGGAAGGGGAGAAGGGGAAGGAGAGGAGAACTCCAGGGAGGGAACGGAATGGTTGATGGTCAAGTTGGAGAAGGGCAGAGAGGGTGAGCAAGGAAAGAGATATCTAGATACAGGGAGCTATTATTGGGTTATCGAGAAACCTGGCACTAGGGAAATTCCCAGGAACCCACAAGATAACCCCAGCTAGGACTCCTAGCAATAGGTAAGAAGGTGCCTGAACTGACCATCTCCTGTAATCAGATTGATGACTACCTTAATTATCATAAGAGAGCCTTCAGCCAGTAACTGAAGGAAGCAGATGCAGAGATCCACGACTAGCTCCTTATTTACAGAAGGTGGAACACATACACCACAATGGATTGATTTTCTTTGCAAAGAATTTTCCTGAATCCTTTCTTCCAGGATATTTTTATAAGGGCTACCAACACTGGTAGGAAGCAGAGCTGCAGAAGTTACAAATGTTAATATTTCTCACTAGAAAAGACTCTAGCAGCAGTGGCTTTGATCAGGTCATTTTTTTCTGCACCTCAGTTTCCTTATCTAGATCAGCAATGGGCATCATAAATTTTAAAGTGGTAAAATGAAGCAGCTGGTATAGCATGTTAAGAATCACACCATACAGCTGGGCGGTGGTGGCGCATGTCTTTAATTCCAGCACTCAGAGGCAGAGCACTCAGATCTCTGGGAGTTTCACACCAGCCTGTACAAAGTGAGTTCCAGGATAGGCTCCAAAGCTACACAGAGAAACCCAGTCCCAAAAAACAAGAAAACAAAACAAAAAAATCACACCATACATGCTCACTAAAAACAGGCACCCCCCCCCAAAACAAAAAGAAAAAAGAGATGAGTTTCCACTATTCTTCCTACTTTTCTAAAATGCTAAGACTGGAAAGGGCCCCTAATGTTTGGATAACAGGATTTTTTTTAGTGTAGTAGTAACCCTTTCCCCTGTAAATGTATTTTTCAGTTGCATACAAAATTATATATATGCATGGTTGTGCATGCCTCTATTCCCAGCACTTGGGAGGCTGATATAAGATCTCAAGTTCACAAACAAAACAACCCCCCCATGTGTTAGTGCCTCTTTATCCTTATCAGATTCAAAGGAAATATTATAAAATAATCAGACACTTTACATTTTAAAGTTCCATGTCTACCAGCATCTACAACGAAGGCTTGAAAATGTGTTTTACTAGGGACTTAGGTCTGTGTTAGAATATTTGCATAGTATTTATGAGTCAATTAGCTGCAGAGAGAAAAGAAAAATGTTTATCTCTAGACATTCAACTTTTTACTAAAACAAAGAAACCTCCAAATTTCTGTATTCATTTGCCTGGTTGCTGGATTTTTACTTCTACTCGAGTGGTCCCCCGTGCTCCTTCTGCAGGGATCACTCCCTCCATAGTGGATCTGAAGTCTGGGGAGGTAGAGCAGGCCCTTATCCCTGTATGCTGGTGGCAACAGTCCATGAGCTCCGGTCCACAGAAGCTAGCTAATTGTGAAGGCCATTTCCTTCTCAAGCGTCAAGTATATATGGGCCTGCTTATCCTTTAGCAGAATGTGAACTGTAGTCAGGCATGGTGGCTCACGCAGCTGAGGTCAGCTTGGGCTGCCGCGTGAGACCTTTCTTCAAAACAAACATCCCACCCCAAAATGTGGTGAGGTAACATGAGGATCTAGGAAAAGATCATGAAGAACTCCTTAGGTCAACATTGAGACACCTGGATTTTCCCCTCAGCAAAATGGAGACTTTAAGGAAGTTCCAATGTAGTTCTCGTTCAATCAATGCTTTTGGTCAGGTAGTTGAGTTTTAGGCACCATACATAATACTTCTGACCAAAGACATCAGCATTCCAATTAGAGAAAAGGCTGCTGTAGAAATCTTCTCGCAGACTAGAGACAATGCCAAGTCTAGACCTTTAACTGAGAAAGAAACATTAAGTCATGCTGATAATAGACTAAAATAAGGAAAGTTCTGTGGAATGGAAGACCCAGGCAGCCAGCCACTCAGAGAAAAGCTGTTACAGCTCAAGGTGTCTAAGATGGCATCTCCACCACAGAAAGTAAGAGCCAGCGAGCCCTAGCTCTCAATGTCAGGAATCTCATCCCTTCTCTCAAGAGTTCTACTGAAATCTTCACTGCACATGGAAGAAGCCACACTGAGTTCTGGTTCCGTGGTGGATCCCAGGAATTACATCACAATGTGAGTTCTCTTAGGAATAAAAGGCTGCCAAACAAAGTATTATAAACTGGTTGGATGAACAGATGTGAGTCCCACGATCAGGGCTGGCTGCTCCTGTATGCTGAGGGGAATCTGTGTACACTACCTTCCTTAATGGTGTGGGTCTATTGTACACTTCTATATGTGCAACATGCAGAATTTGCCTTATCTTTGTGTGACGTGGTGCCAGTGTTCAAATCTCCCTGAAGAGGATTTAGACTGCCTTAAATTACCTCCCATTTTCACTTGATTACTTTTGCAACAACTATCTCCCTGTAAGGTTGGGGATTAGGATTCCAAATCTTTTTCTGAAGGGACATAAGATAGCCCATAATACTGTACAACATCAAGTAAGGTCACAGGTCACACCTAAACTCTAGGCTTCCAGAAAAAAAAGGTGGCAATAAAATTTTCACGTTTTCAGATATTTCTCCCACAGGCCTCACAGATGCTTTTGCTGTATCCTGGCTGCCTGGTAATTTTATCTTTTTTGAAGTGGGGGTTTGAGACAGGGTTTCTTTGTATAGCTTTGAAGACTAGGCTGGCCTCAGAGATCTGCTTGCCTCTGTGTACTGAATGCTGAAGACTAAGGGTGTGTGCCACCACAACCACCTGGCTGGTAATTTTATTTTTCAAAGAAAAAATTTTGGGGGTGGGTGTGGAGTTCAAATCCAGGGCCTCAAGTATGGTAGGTAGGTACTCTGAGCTATAGCACTGCCCTATCCCCTAGCCCATGTCTTTATTACCCATGCAACCCACTGTCTATAAAGCCAGAGCTAGGTCACTCCCTCCCTCACAAATTCCCTTCTCATTCAGTAAGTATTATAATTGAACTTACTTCCTAACAACTTTTGTTCTGACATACCCCTCAACATATCGCTAATTTAAATTTGGTAATTCACTTTAAAAACTTCATTTTATATGTGTATTTGCCCATCCATATAGGCCACAGTACAACTTGCAAGATTGGTTCTCGCCTTTCAAGTCCTGGGGCTTGAATTCAGGTCATCAAGCTTGATGGCATTTATCTTTAGTTGCTAAGGCATCTTATTGCCCCTACTACTTCCTTTTGCTAACAGGATCCTAAAGCGACTTAATGTGGGGTCTACAGGGCTAGTACATGTAAGCATCTTCAAAGGGCTTCACACACAACGAGATAGCAAAGACACATTGACTGTAGATGACAGCGAGACCAAGTTCTGCAGGGCATTCTAAGAAGACAGAAAAGTACCTTGTCTAAGGTTCACAGTACGGAGACGAAAAAGGACTTAAAGAGTTATCAGTGTATGCTGTCAACCACATCACACTACCTCTTAAAATAATGGAAGAGAAAGTTCTGTTTAGTTATATTTTATGAAAGGCAAACAAAATACCGAAATCTGAAGTTTTATTTCAGGAGCCACCACAGATTTTGCTTTTACTCTATGTAAAGGTTATTTTATACACAGTGTTCAGAAATACATCTGTTTGTAGTTTAATCAGTTTCGTCAAATGCAAAGGACAAGCATGACTCATACAAATATACTTTAAACAAGTCCTAGAATCACGATTTAATTGCTAAATGATTCAGCTATTGAAAAAAACTGTTTCACATTCCAAATTATTTTCTCAAACTAAAAAGAGTACACGTGTATCAAATCTTTGCCAATATTTTTAAAAACCATGTCCAGTTACAAATTAGTTTAAAACTTCCTGAAAATTAATAATCAAGTGATGCTCCCTCATTATGTAACTATTATTACTTCAACAACCTCTGAAGAAATATTACTCAGGCATTTTGGAAAATTAAAAACTACAAAATGAGATTGTTGCCAGAAGAGAAATGAACCATAAGTTAGAAACTGTATAGACAGACATTTATTCAGGAGGTACAACCACTAGTCCTTACATGTCAATGCATTCCACATTATAATCACATGTATTTTTTACATCTACACCAAGTCATGCTGGCAATGCTTTCCAGGTAAGTCACAACCTTATCTTCTAGTAAATTCTATTCATTTTTAATTGTAAACAAAGTACTTGAGCAAAATACCTTAAAATTTTACAAGCAGATGATCTTAAAAACTGGAACATCTATTCCCTGTAGTTGACAACCAAATGGAGAGGCTATTTGGGTGGGTTGGGCCATTTTTGTCATGCACGTCAGCAACTCTGCACATGTAAAAAGAAGTGTTCCTGCAGTCACATCCACAAGGCTCTTTCTTTCCTACCCAGATGATCACTCTCTTCCCAAAACACTATCTAGTATTTATTCTTTGCCTGGGCTAGTTCTGTGAACACATTAAGTCTTTAAGACTTGGTCCGTGTCAGCATGCTGTTTACTCAAATATATATGTTCTCGTTTTTTTAAATACATTAAAATAAAATGTATATAGTTACCTTTTCAAAAACAAACAAACAAACAAAAACCCAAGGCTACAACAATGTAGGGGTACAGTAATGAATGGGTGAAGGAGCCATATGCAGACAGCACAGAATCATTATGTTTCACATCTGAAAATTTTAAACATGATCTTTCAAATAACTTAAAAAAATTTTTAAAGGTAAAGGGGGCAGAAAGAGAAAACACTGAATTTCACAACTGAATTATTAGTAGGTTTTATTTTTTTAAAAAGAAAAAAAGGCCAGCCTGGCTTACATAGTAAATTCCAGGACACCCAGGCAGGGCTATGTAGAGACCCTGTTCCCCACACCCCATAAAAAGATAGAAAGCCAAATACCTTTAAGTCTATAAGGAGGTACTAAGAAATATAATCAATCATTAAGTAGCTTCCAGATCCAGTACAGTTGGAAATTCCATGAACCAGTGCTCCTCAAACCTGGGTGTTCATCAGAACTATACAGAGTGAGCTTCTAAAGGCAACAGGGGGTACACTTGGTCAAAACATGTTATTTAAAACTGTTAACCAATAAAGAAATGATTTTGACTTGGCTGTTATTGGGAGGGACCTGAGTATCAGTAAGTTCTAAGCTCTGCAGGGCATTCAAACATGCAGCTAAGGTTGAGAATCACCAAGTCAACTTATTTTGAAATATTTAAGAAAAGGAAAGCTGGGACACAGGGACATTTGTTTTTGTAAGTTGCAAATGAAACAAATACTTATTATATATTTACTGTGTGCCTAGTTTCATTCACAAACCATCCATTTACTAAAGTTCCTTCACTTCCTTATTACACAAGAAGACTACTGTACACTTGCCACTGAGTTTTCCTATGGTCAATATTTAAAATTCTGAGATACGAGAATCATATCAATGAAAGCAAGCTATTGCTACTCATGCTCAATAGTACCAAGCAAAGCTATGTATTTGGCTCCTTTAAGTTACTTTTATTTTACGAATTATAAATAGGTAGCAGCCCACACAAAGAACAGATTGTGAATTACTGCAGAATAGCTTACTCAACAACCTAAAAAAAGAAAAAAAAAATGTAAGTTGGCTGAAATTCTGCAATCGCTGAAACATGAACCAGGAAGCTGTAGTTGTAAGGGAACGCTGGTGTGCGCCCTCAGGAGCAACTGTAGCCACAGTAGATAGGTTGACACAAGGTTTCCTCAGGGTGTACTTACCCTGTGATGCAGGCATAGGAGCACAACAATAATATTACTCTTCTATATGCACCAACTTTAATATATACTTTTACAACAAATACCTCTAGTAATCTTACAATTAAAATATGTCATACTCTTCTATACTACTTTGGTCTCAACATTTTAAAAACACATCAGCTAATTTTGAAAATATACAATTCAACATGATGCTATCAATATCAAGCACATTTTGTAGTGGACTAAAGACATTCAACCATGCACAATCCAGTGTTCAATTCCTAAAAGATAAATAACAATGCCGATCGACTGTTACTCTGAAAATCACTGAAAGCTGCAGATATCTTGTAAGACTGACAGTGCTCACAAACATGCAAAAACACGTACACACTTCCATTCTTCCTGAAGGAATGTTACAAAATGCCCATTTTTTAAAAAATAAAGGTAATAAAGTCATGATTATGATAAATTCCTGCATTTCAACCCATTAGTTTTTTATCATCACTTCAACTCTTTATAAATGGTCTTATAATCTGTGACTGAAAATGAATCAACTTTGATTTCAGCTTTTAGAAGACTTAGTCATAATCACACATCGATAGCTGCCTTTTAGTAAAATGGTGACATCCAGTGGACAAACGGTAAAAAGCATTGTTCAAACACCCATTGCTATCTGAATCATAAAGAAGCATTTTGTGAGACTTAAGAAGCTGCCTGTTTCTCTATCTTAAACAAACCCTGCCTCCTCTTCCTGTCTCGAACTGGAACTGAAGCTGAATAGTAATTATGATGGGCTCTTCCGGCTCCACATTTGAAGTTATTACTTTTTCTTATTTTCATTTTCCTCAGCACAAACTGACTCATCTCTAGGCGTGGAAGAACTGAAATATGAGAAATATATTTCAATATAAATGAATAGCATAAAAAATTCGAAAAGTTGAAATCTGAGCTTGTTTGCGTTTATAATTTATGACATACTGTTAAATATAAATAAGGGATTTAATTAGTAATGTTAATAATCAAATTACATCATCTCACTTCACTGCTTAAATATTATGAAAGAATACATATTTAGCAATGATTTCTTCAGTGTTTAAAAACTTACTTTTACAAATCAGTATAAATGAATACATTATACACTGTTTAAATACAAATAAGAAGGTTCCACGATAGCTATGATTTACCACTGATTACAGATAGTTTACATATGTTCTAAGTACAAAATGCAGCAGCAATGCCAACATTCAATGTGATAAACCGCTGAAGGCAAGACTGCTAGTTTTACTATTTTGGAAAATCGAAAAGAAATTTCACAAAGAAATTGGAGTAAGCAAAAGGAAATATTGGAGAACTGTTATTTGTAAATAAGTTGCCAAATGAAGAAAAGCTCTTTTTAAAAAAAGATTAAGAATGTAAAAGTACATTTTAATATTAAAAAAGCATTTTTAAAAATCTATAACAACTTTGTGACAAAATCTGCATTTGAAAAAGGCCTGTAAAAACAGCAGGACAGAACTGCCCTCATCACCTTTTACTTTTTCTCGTCAGAAAAAAAGTGTATGCTTCTCTACAACCATAAGTGATGCTAAAATAGGCATTTATAAAATGGCAAGAAGATTTCACGGAAGTTTCTGGTGGTTTACAATCACTGGCATCAAGGCCATCAGTAGGTCACAAGTAAAACTTTCTAGCTAAAAGCAAAGAGGAACATAAAGTTTTTAAATGATTAGGTCTGTTGTCTGCGTTTTGCTGATCTCATTTTCTCAAAGCGTGATTCCATTTCTTCCAAGACTTTTGGCGTATACCGTACAACTAATTTAACCTTCCCTTGGGCTGCTTTCAGCAGCTCAACAGCTTTCTCATGATGCTCTCCTTCAACACTCTGAAAAAACGCACACACACAAAGAAACAATTAACAAGCAATCCAACAATGAACACGTAAACAAGTTTACAATAATCCAATCTGTAAAAATGTTTAAAACACAAGTAAAAATTTAAAATGCTACATCATTTCAGCACTATAAAGATAATAATCTTACTTCATCATTTTAATCAGTGTGAAATCCTATGATATACATTTGTGTATACTCTAGGAATATACACACCTTAGGTTAGCAGTAGATCAAGTAACTGCCATTGTACACCAGTACAATGCAGATTTAGTTCTAACATACACAGTTTTAGCTCCTCGGAAGCACTGCTGACTTACACTGGAGTGCTCTACAGCCACACTTGTTTTGTTTGTTAGTTTTTCATTTTAAATACTAACTCCAGTTCCCCTGCCTGCCCCCCATCAACTCCTCACAGGGCTAAGGCCTTCCTTGGGGAGTCAACAAAGTCTGGCAGACCAAGTTGAAGAAGGACCACACCCCTCCCCCTGTATCATAGCTGAGCAAAGTATCCCACCATAAGGATGAATTCCAAAAAGCCAGTTCATGCACCTGGGATAGGTCCTGGTGCCATTGCCAGGGCTCCTCCCGAAACACATCATGCCACATAACTGTCACCCACATTCAGAAGGCCTACTTCAGTCCTGTGCAGGTTCCCCAGCTGTCAGTCCAGAGTCTGGGAGTTGCTCTACAGTCACACTTAAAGCACTGGGCTGGGGATGCAACTCAGTGGTCAGGTGGTTGCCTGGCATTCTGAGTTTAGTGTTCAGCCCAACAACACCCTCCACTATCACCAGCAAATCAAAACAACACACAACACTGTACAGTACCACCTGGGTTTCTCTCAAGGGATTTTAACTGAGTGGTCAGGTGGTTGCCTGGCATTCTGAGTTTAGTGTTCAGCCCAACAACAACCTCCACTACCACCAGCAAATCAAAACAACCACACAACACTGTACAGTACCACCTGGGTTTCTCTCAAGGGATTTTTACTCAGTCTCAGAAGTTTTCCCCCTTAACTCTGATTCGATTGCTCCGGTGCACCCCCAAGTGGCTGCAACACATAACTGCACATAACAAATGTAAACAGATTTATCTTTACCACTCCATTAACAGAAAGTAGCTGATCTCCTCGTTTGAGACCCCCATGTCTGTCAGCAATTCCACCTGGAATTATCCGAGAGATATAGATTGGTGAGTTTTGTTCTTTGCCTCCCATGATATTGAATCCAAGGCCCTCTTCTGTTTTGGGTAACTCAACAACTCGGGGATGGGAGTGCCCTTCACTGGCAGCAAACGCAGCAACAGTAGCCTGGAAGAGAAATGCACACATCTAAGAACACAACTTATTTTTGAGCGGCCGGAGTTTGAACCTAGGGACTCACATATGATAAGCATGTGATGTCCAGCTTGCCAAAGGCACTTGTGAACCACAAAGCTTTTTATTTGTGAGCTCTCACAACTTCACTGTAAGTCAAACATGTTTGGAGGACATAAATGACAATGATAAATACTCAAGAGGTTGTGTAGGAAGTAAACTTCAGAAATATGTGTTACATGTGCACAGGGCTGGTCAAGAAGGCAGATGTGTAGATATTAAGAGGGGAAGCCCTCCCTGAGGATGCCAACAGCCCTGAGTTTCAGGGGTCCCCGGGCAAGACACAACCTACCTATATGTCCTTACATGAAGTCATGGTTGCTATACTGTGCCAAATACTAAATAGCAAAAACCTCAAGAAATACCTCAATATTCAGACAAGGAAGGATACATACAACTCATATGAATGTTTTTTTGTTGCTTTAGTTAAAGAATCTAGTTACAAGTAAAAAGAAAATGAAATAGAAGAGATACAACTATGTCTAATTATATTCTAATACAAGTTTACATTCTGTTTCTTTTCCCTTTTTAAAGGCACCATTTTCACTATGGAGACTGAATGGAAAAACAAAAATGAGGAGGAAGGGGAAAGATGTTGAGTCTTACTGAATACCAACTACTACCTCTGAAGCACTAAAAAGACCCCGTTTTACATCAGAACTAAGGCTCGCTCACAAGCTCTGAAAATGCTGAGGGTTACAAAAGTCAGAGAGAAGCAATTTCTTTTTGGGGTTGGCTGTCTGGAGGTGAAGCATTTAGTTTTATAGAACTGGCTAGCTTCAAACTCTTCATCCTCATGCCTCAGCCTGAAGTTCAGGGATTACAAGTATGTTGACAAAACTTGCAACAAAAAATATTTTCTTTTCTGAGACAGAGCCTCATTTAGCCCAGGCTGGCCCAAACATGTCACAGAGCCAAGAATAACCTCAAATTTCTGCTCCTCCTGCAACTACCTCCCAAATGATGGTATCAGAGGCATATGCCACCATACCTGGTTTCTGGTTTTATGTGGTGCTAAGGATGGATGGAACTCAAAGCCTTATGCATGCTAGGCAAATACTCTATAAACTGAATTATACCTACACACCTCCCCAGACCCCAAGTTTCTATGGATTTAGTGACTTTGACAAAGGAAACCTACACACTTGAGTACCTGTACTTAAGACTCTGGCGATTCCCTTTGTGAACCAGTAACTAGTAATAAAAAATAGCTTGCATAGGGGTTAGAGAAATGGCTCAGTGGCTAAAGAGCACTGACTGCTCTTCCAAAGGACCTGGGTTCAATTCCCAGCACTTAAATTGCAGCTCACAACTGTCTAAATCCAAGATCTGACACCCTCAAACAGAAGTACATGCAGACATTTTACCAATGTACATAAAATAAAAATAATAACCTGCTACTAACAACTCGCAGTGTAAATTAACGTATTCTAAGCACACATGATCTACATCTAGCTCAATGTCTGAGTTATTTGAGGAAAACAACACTGGTACAACCCCCGCCCCCCAACCAGACACATACAAATATGCCATCTACAAGTCCAGAGGAGGTGGCCTAGGACCAACACTATCCAATATGTACAGGGCTAGGGGCCCTAGGATTACCATTCACTTATTGTTGTGTGGTGCAAGGAAAGCAGTCTAACCTTGATGCTTCCTCGGCAACAAGAAAGTCACCCTCATTGATTATGAAATTAATGTTATAATCATAAATCTATATAATGTACTGAATAGAATAAGGCATGTTATACATACTGTTGTATTTTCAATGTATCATCTAAACAATATCACAAAATATCTTACAAAGCCAATAAAACATTCCTATTTCTTAGTACCTGAGAAGTATAGTATAGTTTGAATATAAGCTGGTTTTTACAACTTACTATGTATCTAGTAACTGCATGTTCAACTTTTGACTTCTGTACTGTATGTATACAGTACACATACATATGTATATACACACACATATAAACATGTATGTATAGACAACCCGAGTGTCTCTGTGTGAGCGCATGTGTGCTGACTCACTGGGTAGTGAGCCCCCAGGATATCCACTTCTTTACTCCAGCACTACGGTTATAGACACTGTTAAGCTGAGCATTTACTTGGGCGTTGGGGATCTGCACTCAGGTCCTAGTGCTTGCATAACATGCACTTTACCGACTAACTATCTCCCCAGCTCCACTTCTGAGCAACGATCACCTTTACCTTTGCAGTTGCATTAGCTCTCACTTCAGGGCTGCTGCTGATGTCCACAGTTTCATAAACATGCTCATATACCTGTAAAACCAAAGTTTTCTTTCAAATCTAAGTTCTGGGATATATCTATGTTCAAGTTCTCTGAGGAGTTAACAAATATGTTACAGTTTCCCAAAGGCATCTTTGTAAGATATAAATGCTTTTTCTAGTAGGAATTTCAAAGGAAATTCTTCTTTCTCTTTTGGTGGTGGTACTAGGAGCTGAACACAGGCTTTTTCCCCCCCATTTTTTGAGACAGGGTTTCTCTGTATTGCTTTGGAGGTTGTCCTGGAACTCGCTCTGTAGACCAGGCTGGCCTAGAACTCACAGAGATTCACCCACTTCTGCCTCCTGAGTGCCAGGGTTAAAGGTGTGTACCACTAACATCAGGCCTGAACCCAGGATTTTATACATGTAAGACATGAACAAAATCACTCAGTTCTACCAGTGAGTCATACACACAGCTAAAAATTCAAAAGCATGAGAGCCGAGGCCCGTTCTAATGTTTTCTTCTCTGCCTCACATCTCTTCTTATCTTTTTTTTTTTTTTTTTTTTTCCAGGCAGGATGGTCTATAACTCACTTTGTAGGTCAGGTTGGCCTGTACCTCATAAGAATTCTGCCTGATTCACCCTTCCAAGTGTTGGGATTATAGGAATGAGCCACCATGCCCAGCTCTAGTTTATTTTGTACTGTATTTCTGAATCCAGATTTCACTGTATTTCTGTAGCTAATTAACTCAAAATGTTAGGAAATAGAAATCATGTTAACTTACCTCCCTCACAGCATTGCAGAACTCACTCTGAAGGACTCTTTGCAAAGCCTGAAGTTTCTGTGGTGGCACCTCTCCACTCCTCTGTAGTTTTTCCAACAGTTCAATTGCTCTGCAGATATCTACAGGGAAACAAAACACAAGTGATAATTGTTGCTAAGGACTCTCCTCATTCCTTTAGAACTTTGTAGCAGATAAGATTAATCCAAAGGCTAGCCAGGTGTGGTACCCAATATGAATAATCTTCACTCCAGTGACTGAGGCAGGATGATCACCACCTGTTAAATGCCAGCTTGGGATTCAATACTGCCTCCAAAACAAAGCAAACAACCAAACTAAACCAAAAAAAATAAAAAAATAAAAAAAGCCCAATTCCCCCAAAGACAATATATAAAGAAAAGAAAAGTCTTTAATCAGGAAAGCTAACAGTATTATCACGCATTATTTAGTCAATAAAAATTTACTTAATCATCTCAAAGGTAACCAAAGCAGTCAACCAGTACAAGAGAGCACGTTCTAGTGATATCACCGTTACTTCTGGAAGCAAAACATGATACATATACAGTTCAAAGACACATGGAAATGCAACTAGCTGTGAGGATTAATAACACTGTTTTTGTTTGGACATGTCCAGACATGGTTTACAAAACAAAGAGAAAAAAATAGCTTTATCAACCTGGTCTTAATGCTTGTGTGTGACCTTGGATAAGTTTCCCAGGCTGTGTTGCAGTCTTTCACTGTAAAACAGCCCTCATAGCCTCATGTGGAGAGAGGAAGAGAACTAAAGGGCCTCACACGCACACATATGCCACATTGGTATGGACCAATTTTAAGAATTGAGGGACTAGGGGCTAGAGAGATGGTTCAGCAGTTTCGAGCACTTTCTGATTCCCAGCACCACTTGGGCATCTCACAATTACCTACAACTCTAGTTCGAGGTATCTTACACCCTTGTCTGGCCTCTACCAGACACAGGTAGTGTGTGGCCTCTAAACACACACAACTTAGGAAGAAAAGAAGAATTATGCACAGACAGACTTATAGTGTGATTGAGAAATGTACAAATATATTTTATGAACAAAGAACTCTATTAATCATGACGTCTGATCTGATTCCCCCCTAAGGTTTTTCTGAACCCAAGCCTCAATGTATTACTATTAGTGATCAACCAAAATTTCAGAAAATTTTAACTGTGTTTAATTACTTTCAAAGACTAGAGTATCTACTATTCTATATATTCTAATCATTGAATACTTTTGACTTAAGTGGAGGTTTTTGATTTAATGATATACTAAATGAGCAGATACTTACTTCATAGACTTATTTAGGACTTTTCTTTGCATTTGCAAACGAAAAAGTCCAAATAAACTTAGTGAGAAGCAAAGGTTGATTCAGTTATAGATAAAAGTTTAAACTGTTTAATCAAACAGACCACCTTTTTTTTCTGATTTCCCAGCTCCAGAAACAAATGTTGTTTCCCCAGTTGGTGATTTACAAAGTAACAACTATCCACACTAACATCCTATAAATAGGCCTAGCAATGTAGCTCAGTGGTAGAGTGCTCATCCAACATGTACAATGCCCTCAACTCAGTACCCAATGTAGGGAGGGGAGAGTAGAGGGAAGAGAGTCCAGCTAATTAATAATTAATACTTGGAAACAAACTAAAAACTATTCAATCTAAACTGTACCAAATAATGCACGCTAGGTTTGTGTGAACCACATTTTGATGAGTTAGAAGACAAACAGGTACTTGATCACGTGTGCTGGCATATTATTATGAACTGTTGAGACTATACGTTAGATCTGTCAGAATTATCAACCAGAATCAGACTTGATGTCATTTGTCTTGATGATCCTGTTAACTGACAACCAACTAATACTTCATCCCCACTGATACTCTGCGCTTTCTACTGTATAACTGAAAGCTCTGTAACAGCAAAAAGCAAATGCCAGAGGCTGAGCGTCCACATTTGGTGCTTCATTTAAAAGTACAAAGAACACCAACCAGTTAGAAACCTCCAATTATTCTGGTTAACACCAGCTGATTTGTTCCTGTCTCCCAGGCACACTGGCATTATGCTTAAGAAGAAACTGTCACAGCTGTAAGCCTACGTTAGTTTTTCCCAAGCTACCCTCTGTCATAAGATGACTCTGTAATTGAAGCCCTGATAGGCTAGAGAGAAACAAGTCCGAGGAGAGTGGGTCTTTCAAGCGCACCAACCTTTAAATTATTTCCTTCTTGGACAATATTAATAGATACTATAACTGCGAATACTAATATATGCAAAGTAGTCAAATCCATTCCACGTTTTGTGTGCCAAAAGTACTCAAGATGTTTAACAGGTACCTCCTGGCTATTATGACTCCCAATCGTAAAAAGCTTTTTCCAGTTGTTTGAGATCTAACGATCTGGGCAGGGCAGAGGACAATGTTGGAAATCTGCAACTGGCTGACTACTTGCAGACTATTTCCACAATGGGTTTTATTTTTCTTGACTGTTCGCTCTAAGAAGCAAGCAACCAACCAAGTTTGCAACTGCAGGGCTTGTAAGTGAGGAACAGCATCGCCCTGAAAAGTGATTTACAACCAACTACTACTACTACACCTCGTTACGTAATCTCCTTCGCAAGAACAAATCTGTTGGATTGTTTTTTAGGCATCCTCTCGATGACTGGAAGGAGTGCAAAAGCTAAGACATACCACCTCAAAAGCCCAGGAGGTTGTGGTCAAAGTAATGAAGGAGTCCGTGTTTAAATGGGGGCGAGGGGGGTTCAGTATGCGGGAATGTGCCCGTGTGCGCCAAGTGTTTGAACGAGGGCAGGCGGGCACACTCATCTGTCCGCGCACAGCCGCAATGAAGATAGACAGTGGCGAACGGCGTGGTGGCACTTGTTCTGTGGGATTTAGGAAGCTGAAAGCCGCTTCTGCACTGCTCACTCGGGGAGTGCCGGTGCCTGCAGCCGTGGGCAGGTCCTGAGAAGCGAGCTGCACCGGCCGTCAGTGAACTGAGGGGCTGGCGAGCTTTCCAAACGCGGCCAGCTCCTCCCACAAGCAGCGCCCAGCACGAAGGCCCGGGAAGCGCTCCGGGTGTCAGAGTCCTGGCCACCTCGCCTTCGCTCCGGCCGGCGGAGCCCTCCGTCAGTTCCCCACCCGCTCCACCCACAGCGGCCGCAAGACCCGCCGCACTCACCCCTCTCCAGCCGGACCGGTTCCCCCAGCGCCGCCATCTTCTCTTCGGCGATGCAGACCCACAGGAAATGACGACAGAGACGCCGTGGAGGAGGGACCGGGAGCCGGAAGGGTGAGGTGGGTAACGCGAGAGCTAGGAGGATGCGGAGAGAGCTGCGGCGCTTGAGGCTGCACCGCCGAGACGCTGTCTGTGTTCGTTGGTCTGTGCTCGCCCACTTCTAACCACCCGAGGATGAACAGAACCGATATCCCGACCTGTCCCCGGCCTCGGGGAGGCACCTCATTAGTTCCAGGCCCTGCTGGATCCTCGGCAGCCTCTGACCTTGGACCTGCACACTGGCCGTCTCTCGGCTGGTTTCACCAAGTCCGAGGCCCTCATAAAGTCTTATTATCCCAGATTGCTTTGCTTTTAAAAAGCCACAATTCGAATCTTTGTCACAAGTCTGTTTAAGCAGAAAGGGAGAGGATGCTTCGATGCACCACAAGATCACGCTTTTAATCGGCCAATTCAAAACCTTTTGTTTGAAGTATGAAGCGCATGTGTTTTGTAGGTCCAATTTCTTTTTTTAAAAGTTTTTTGTGTGTATAAGGGTTTTACCTACATGAATGTCTGTGCATCATTTACATGTCTGGTGCCTACGGAGGCCACCAGAGGGCATAGGATGTTCGAGAACTAGTTTTAAAGATAGTTGTGGGCTGCCATTTGGGAGTTGGGAATCTGACCCCAGGACCGCTGGAAGAGCAGCCAGTTCTAACGGTTATGCCATCTCTCCAGGCCCTTATAGGGCCACTTCTGAAAAATTAGTGAACCCAAATCCTTTTAGTCCCTAACTTAAGTGAAATAATTTTTATGAAATTTGAATTTGATCAGCAAAGGCTTTGGTCTGTGCTAAGTTCTCAACACCTCCAGGATAGGATTGTTTAATACCTAAGTGATCGTAAGTGATCCACTCTTTCCATTCAACTACAGTTTTCTACTTATTACTAGGTAGAGCCCAATTCAGACTTGTGTGAGATTTAATTGAATTCCAACACTGGGCAGTCGTTCGTCTTTGAAATTCCTCATGGTCTATGCAAATTATGTAGGTTTTCTACGCTGATAGGAACCATTCTTATGAACTGGGGTTGCACATTACTTAACTTTTCCTCTCTCTACATCTTTTTCATTGCCTGAGATCAAACCCACAGACTTATATATGATACACAAATATTCGACTACTGAGCTACACCTTCTATCCTCTGGTCTTTTGGAATAGTCTTTTTTGCATGTCCTTGATAATTATCACGTAATCATAAAAATTCCAGGTTTAAGTAGAAGACGATAAATGTTTCTAGAGAATAAAAAGTCCCCTTCTGTGCCAGGTGGTGGTGGCACATAACTTTAATCCCAGCACTCAGGAGGCAGAGGAAGGCAGATCTCTGTGAGTTTGAGGCCAACCTGATCTACAGAGCGAGTTCCAGGAAAGCTAGGGCTCTTACACAGAGAAACCCTGTCTCAAAAAACAAAACTAGTAATCAAAACAGGTTGCACTTTTCATTAACAGCACTGTAACAACTCAGCAAGCTATAAGACTTTGTATAGAAAAGTAATTCCCAAACTAGAATTCCCTACTTGTTTTCTAGAACTTCCATAGCAAAGTATATCAGGTGGAATGTCTTAAAACTGCAAATAATTGTCTCCATTTCTAAAATGAAGGCATTGTGTTCCTTCTGAATCTACAGGAACTCTTCCTTGTCTCCCTGGATTTCTGGACGTTTCCTAGCAGTATTTGGTGTTCCTGACTTGCAGCTGTGTTACTCCAGTCTTTGTTTTCATTTTAACATGGCATTATCTCTATTATTTTTATCAGAGAATTTACTTATAAGAAGGCCAGTCCTGTTAAACCAGGGGCCTACTCTAATCCAACATGCCTTCATCTTAACTAGTTACTTAAGCAGTATACCTACTTGCAAATGCATTTTGATTCTTAGGTACATGCTTTTTTTTTAAGGGTGAGAAGACAGTCTATTATTCTGATGAAATTATCAGAAGTGAAGGTATACCAAATGATGTTTTAGGGCCATAGGTGTAGATCAGGACTTGAACATTTGTCTAGCATGTCTGACAACCTGGGTTTGATTCCCAGAACAATAATTTCATATTAAACATGTAAGTTCTCAAATTTTACTTTCCATACATAATTTCTCAAATCAGCTGTGCCTCCATCAGAATTAGGAAGCTAGGCTGCATCTGTAGCTCAGTGGTAGAACCCAGTATGTGCCTGGCCCCTGAGTTCAATCCTCAGAAAACAGAGAACCAATGTAAGTTAAGATGATTCTAGAATGCTTGTTTTGTAGTATCTCAAGAGAAATACAACTAATAGAATGTGTATACTCATATAGGTGCAAATGCATGGGCACACACACAGATTTACTAGGAGAAATTGGCTCAAGTGATCATGAAAGATAAAGAATCTCATGATCTATGGCCTGCAAGAGATGGAAATACAGGAAACAAGATGGTATTAGTACAAAGTCAAGGGTTTAAAAAAACTGAGGAGTTAATGATAAGTCCTAGTCTGTGGTTAGAGACTTGATGATCAGAACCATTGGTCAAAAGTCAGAAGGTCCTTAATTCATTTTAGTCAGAGAGAATGCTGTCTTTGCTTGCTCTTTTGTCATATCTAGGCCCTCAAAGGATAGGTGATGTCCACCCACGTTACTGATGGTGACCTTTTCTCAATTTATGAAAAACCATAAGTTCTTTCAGAAATACCCAACCCATACAAAACTAATGTTTTATCAGTTATCTGACCATCCTTTTGTTGTTTTCAGACAGGGCTCTATACATCCCTGACTGTCTTAAAACTTGCCTGATCTCAGGCTGGCTTCTAACTTACAGAGATGCACTTGCTTCTGTCTCCAGAGTCCTGGAATCAAAGTCTCCTGCTATCACTCCTCGGTTTGAGCATCTTTTATCCCAATTAATCTGATACTTAAGGTTAAACATTGACAGTTTTCTATTGAGTTTAGGAGAAAGACTGGGGCCCCTGTGGACAGCAGGCCTTACTCCAAAGTAGGGATGCACCATATTACCTGGCCTGGCCTTACCAATAGCTCAGGTGGAATAGGTCACAGTCTCAGTTTACCTGCAGCAACATTTTTCCCCAGAAAGAGACCATATTCATCTAAAGTATCAAGATCATGGAACTCAACTTGGAGAAACTCAAGTTGGGTAACTGCCAGGGGCTGCTGTTCCCAGAAAATCCAACTCCAGCTAGTGTGTGAATTGGAGAAAAGTTCACTAAGAAGTGATGGGGAAGTTCTGTGTATATGTCAATAAAGCACTGTTGGCCAATAGGGAAGCAAGATAGGTGGGACTAAGAGTTGAGGAGTATTCTGTGAAAAAGAGACACAGGCAGCCATGATGTAGCCGCTATAGGGGTAAGAGGTCCGGACCCATTTTCCAGTAAGAGGAATACTTAGATTAACAATTATGGGTTAAATACTTAAGTCAGAGCTAGCCAGTAAGAAATAGCAAACGGCCAACAGCTTCATAATTAATATAGCATCTTGAGCGTTATTTGGGGACTGCAACTGTGGCAGAGCCCAGGCGGCTGGCAAGGAGAAGACTTTACAAGGAAGCATGGTTTTTTTTTATTGCTCTGGGGAGAATTCTGCCTAAGCCAACTCAATAAAGCCATACCAAAAAATAAGCCTAAAGTGTCCCAGAAGCCACACCCTGACTTTTGTGCATGATGCAGCCTTGAGTACTCGATCTTCCCAAGTAAAATTGTGAGCAAGAGGATTCACTGAAACTGGATGCAGTTGGTTCATAAAGATTCATTTAGATACAATGTGGCAGAACAATGGAGTACAAGGTCAAAATCTTCTCCAGTTCTAGGGAATCAGAGGCTCTCCTGACATACCAAGCATGTGTATGATATATATATATATATGTAGAGCAGTCATACACATAAAATAAATCTTCAAATCTCAAAGAACAAAATTACAGCTCTTCTTTCTGAGTCTTCAAAGTGCCAGGATGATATGCATATGCCACGACAAACCTGACTAGATGTATTTTAATGAAAATAATGAAAAACAAAAACAATAATATTAAATAAGGTAAAACTTGATGTATTTTGATCTTGGAATCTAAGTTGTATTAGTCTCATGTTTTCAAATAGAAATATTCACTCTTAGTTACAGAAAAGGTATAGGAGACTCACATTACAAATGCTGTTTGAATGCTTGGAGAGTGCAGACACTAGGGCCAAGAAGATGGTTGGGGGTTGGGAGCTGGGGGTTGGGAAGGTGGGCAGCATAAAGGTCCTTGTCACCAAACCTGAAGACCTGAGTTCAGTCGCTGGAATGTACAGTATGAGGGAAGAACTGACTCCCAAAAGTTATTTCTGACACACTATACCATGGTACATACCGTCCCCGCAATAAAAGAGAAAATAAAAGAAAACAGAAGAATCTCACTGAGTTGTAGGGGTTTAGGGACTTGTCACCCTTGATCCTTAGTTCAATTAGCAGTGGCCAACAGAAGTGATAACACAGAATTAAGTCCATGGACAGAACAGCCTTTCTTAGACTTGACTAGTGCATGGCAGGCAATGAATTTGTCATGTCTGGTATAACACTATAATATTTGGGGGAACTTCCTAATTCCATAGAAGTAATAACCCATTATGGAAAAGTAATAACCCACATAATTTCAGCCAAAGCTGGACCACTATGGTGGGGTTGGTGGTCTTGAGAATAGTACATTTTCACTTTTGGTGAGTTTCCTCATTTATCAAAAATCATTGAGGAAATACCTAACGCAAATGAAAATTACTTGATGACATATACATAATGTTTAACAATTAATATAAACATACATTTTAAAACTTTGGAATTTAATAAGTGAAAACCCCAGGAAAGTCTCTGGTAATATACATTTTTCTTATGTATGTACTTGTTACTATATATGTGTTGAAAATTGACCCCACTCCTTTTTCATGCTAATCATACCAGAATCAACATTTTAAAAACTCGCACTAATTCTGTCACTTTCAGACTGACTCAGTGAACTCTTTTGGGGGTTCAAAAGATTATTTTTAGGGCCTTTCCCAACAAAATTGTTTTTTCTTTAAGAAAACAC